GCGTATTCAAGAGATTGATAGCCCCAATTAAATGGTTAAACCTCGAGAGAGTAATACCTGACTTGAACCCTAGTTGCTTGTGCAAATTTGCATACCCAATTGGTCTTGAGAAAGTCAATTCGGGCAAAATCACTCGAACCACGGAGAAGTGTAGAGTGGGTAATATCGTGCAACGGTTATATTATACTCCCCAATTGTGTCAATCGTATCTTAGATTCAATTACCCGTCAATTGACCACTTAGGCGAAAGTCACTACCCTAGTGCCTTTTAAACTATTTGAACAACCCGTAACATTAACTCTTAGCTTAATCTAGTTGCATTTACCATTTATAGTTTGATAATAGTAGAAGTAAAACGAAAACCCCAAAAATGATTAGAAGTGTAATTTAGAACACATACGCAATCCTAAACTAGATAGATACTCGATTTCAAATTCTAGCTCTCTGTGAAAATCGATCCCGACCCTAAATCGGGTAAAAGCTGCTCCGACCCTCTCTCGCTACTCAATAGTAGTGCGGACTAGGCCGTGATCAGATAGCTAATCATATGGGATATCGCAACTCATGGGATATCCTTGTCCATCACACTTAGGGGTCGTTTGATACGCGCACTAAATTATCCGAGATTATAGTCCTAGGATTATAATTCATAAACTAATTTATCCCACCTGAGAGATGTGATAAAATAATACCAAATTTGATGGAATAAGGTGGGATAAGATGAGATATCCAGGATTACGTTTGGGACAAAGTTTATACTATGTTTTGTTGAAAGTATAAATTTATTACCGTCAACAAAACATAGTATAAATTTAGTACCACACTTTATTCCACCTTATCCGGTGTACCAAACAACCCTTTAAGGTTTATGATAAGCATTGAACCTATCGTATTTTTAAAATTATAGGTTCATATTAATGTTGTAGCTGGAGTAAATTTTTACATCACAATTTATGCTATGTGTCGAAAGTATTGAAATCAGATGAAATTGGTACCGTATTGCTGTATCCGCCTCTGCTTGCTAGTTTCTAGTCTTGTAAAACTTGTCTATATACATTGCTATAGATAGTACTATGTTGTAATATATAAACTGTCCAAATTTAGGTCATTGTCTGTCTGTGCCTTGGGCTCTGTTTACATAGGAATGCATGAACCAAATTAAAAAGGGTAGGGTCCAAAGTTCAAGTCCTAAATTCAAGCATCTGGAAATGGTCCTCTGCTTTGGTTCCTACCGTGTGAAGTTATTCTTTGTCTGTGTCTATGTTTGGACCATCTTATCTACTTGCTGAGACACGAGTCATACACAGGAAAGAGTCTAAATTTTTTTATATTTTTTGTAAAAGCTAATATGTATATATAAAATAGGTCGATACTGCTTAAAAAGTAAATGCAAAATAAACATCATCACAGACTAGAAATAAACTCTTAGTACCTCACTGCCATATCTAAACTTGCGCAAAACTCTGTAAATGTCAATCTTATGTGTAATTTTTGGTTATCCATCAGAATTTTACACTACTTATGCTTTGTAAAAACAGTTGCCTATAATTTGTTTAGAAGTGATTTGGTTGAGTAAAAATTATTGATATAAGACCTAGACTTGTTTAAAAAGTTCGTAGAAGATTGCTAATCCCTCCTACCGGTCAGTCTTAATTAGCTTCATGGTCGTATAGGAGCAGTTAGCAAAAGGGCTGCCGGGTGCATAAGGCATCTTGCGTGAACAGTCTTAATTAGCTTCATGATCGTATATAGGGACGTATGTAGGAATTTTTGTAAGCGGTATCGAATTTAAAGAAGAACTGAGATATAACTTTGATTATCATACTTTTAGACAAGAAATAACCTTAGTCCATTGGTTTTGTTGAGTCTTAAGTTGAAAAAGGTCTTGAGTTTAATTCCACTTTATCACAATTTGTAACTACAAAGGCTCTCTCAAATAGTTGCGAAAGAAAAATGTGCTAGTTGATGTTTGAACCTTTGACCTCCTAGAGCAAAATCAAGTACATAATCAATATGCTTCGGTAAACGTGCATCCGCCCCCGGTCGTGTAGGACAAATTAACAAAAAGGCAGCTGGGTGCATAAGGTATCACACATTCATAAAAGGTCCGCGAAAGGGCTGCAACCCAAGGGATGTGATGTAGACAGCCTACCCTGATACAAACATTTGTGGTTGTTTTCACAGCTCAAACTCGTGACTTATAGGTAGCAGAGAGATAACTTTACCATTTCTCCAAGTTTTTCTTTCGCATAAGAGTAGTTAACGCTAGTTTAAAATAGAATTAATCTATTTATTAAAAGAAATGAATACATATTTTGAACTTTAAATCAAGACTACCGAGTTGATACAGTTCAACCAAACGTCGTTCTTTCCTTCTTAAACTTGTTACCAATTAGATTACACTGTATAAATTGGAATGATGGTGGTGTTTACACAAGTGCAACTAAAGCTTTAACTACATATGGTTTAAACTATGTTTATCAATTTCAAGTACCTTAACAAATCGCCCTGCTCCACTTGAAAACAACGTTTTCAAGATGGTGGAATTTAATGAAAGGTTGACCCTACTCATTCCACTTCCACTTGATAAAAGAAGACAGATCGAGAAAGTCTTTGTCTTCTTCCCACTTGGGTAGTCATTGTTGCCCCAAACCTCTAAACACCAACTAAGCAATTCCCCCTCTCCAACATCACGGGACACAATTTGCATCTCCATGCATCACCCAAGCTATACGCATGGCGGAGTCAGAGATTTCACTAAGAAATATCAAAATAAAATAGTAAATATATGAAATAACTAACGAAATTTAATATATAGTATATATACATAAAAACAAAATTTTAACTTATCTTTACCGTATAATTTTTTAGTGAAGGAGAGTCGTTCTTAGCTTAAGGTGGCTCTGCCACTGGCCCCACACACACTTCCTGTATGGTTAACTCTTACTACTAGTAAAATCAATGGATAAATTTTATAGTATTGGTACATTAATTTATTATACCAAATTGTTCGTCTTATTCTATTAGGGGCCATTTTGTATAATGGATAAGCAAAAATAATCTTGGAATAAAAATTCAGTACCATCTTTGTATAGGTCGAAATCTGTTTTAGTATTTGGGGTAGAGTAACATCGAGAAAAGAGTCAACCGGGGTCGACCAAGAAGTAGTGAGACTCGTGGTCGACATGCTAACGATGGTCGAGGTCGAGCAACGTAGAAAGAGCTGTAACGACTAGTTTATTAGAATATGATATTGAAGAGAATATTCCATTGAATATTCTTTGCACTTGTACTATTAAGGTTTGTTGGGGGTATATCTCATACAAATAGGAAAAGAAAGAAGGACTAGAGGCATGTGATATTCATTGTGATAAGAGCAAGCTTTACTATAAATTCTCTCTCTTGCAAAAATACAAAGATTACCTTTTTATCAAGATTCTGGCTTATATCATTCAACACTTTTCCATCAAATCCAAGGATATTTTGAACGTTGTAAGATCTATCTGTCACCCATCATTGTTACGAGGAACAACCACCTAGTTCATTGTTTATTGGGTGAACCCCTTCTCCTATTTACATAAATGTCATTTATTGCAATTTATTGCTAGTTACTCAATTATTATTCATACCTTTTGAGATACTCATTGAATGCTACTATCAACTCTCTGCCAGATCTGTCTAAACGTTAGCCACATTCTCAGATTTTACATTTATAGATATTATTATTAACTAGGTTTAACTTTTTATTACATAAATATAATAGTTTAACCAAAGTCATACTTCTTGGTCGAACGGTCTTATCCCTCGTTTGGTTACTTATTCTGAGACAAGTTATCTAGGATTAAAAATAGTACCGGGATAACTTATATCTACCAAAGGATGGAATACTAATCTCAAGATAAAGTAGTAAAATTGACAATCTCAGGATTAACGCAACATATCAAACAATCAATAAAAAAATAATATTATAATAATTAATCATATCATAACTAATCACTGCATAACTAATCCTAGCATAACTTGTCGTCAAACCAAATGACCCCTTGGACTAGTTTCAACTAGCTTGACTCATAATGAACAATTATACTACTATATATGCGGTTATCTTTCAACTTTTAACTCTGATATTGTAAAAATCCATTGTTACCAACTTATATAAAAATGAAATTCTTAACTAATATAAGGTTGCTTTCCCTTAGTCACAAACTCTTACTAAAAGTTAAACAACACACCGTCTTTATGTATACGGGTAAAATTGGTCTTGAAGTGCATGTCGATCTCCGAAATGATAAGCCAAGCTCGAAATATGATAATAGAGGGCCTAGACCGAGGCAGGAACTTTATCAATTCTGAGTCCGGACCATAACGCCCCGCCCTCGAGGATATTGGGGTCGTGATTAAGGATCGTTCCTGGCCTTGTTCAACTTCGAAGAATGTTGTCAAGCTCGGCCAACAGAAGACCATGATATTCGTAACCGACCGAATATCACGGCGGAGATCTCGGCATAAACAGATGTGAGATCAACAATCAGTTAATTAGGAAATATTTTTACTTTTTATAGAGTTGTACCTAATATAGGGTTCTCATACTATATAAAGGAGGTCTTATTAGTTATAAAAGATATTGTGACACGCATTCCAAAGCAGTATATTACTAAATTTTTTTCTTTAAGCTCTTGTTCTTCTGTATCTTGATATCGATCAAATTGCATCCAGTTCAAGTGTGACTGACTTTTCAAGATTGTAACTGTTCAACTTGTGCGATTTAAATTTACTTTATCATTGTTCATTTCAATTACAACTTAATTTACCGTTTTGTGTCAAGTTAATCCACTTACAAATTCAATTCTCATTTTGAGGGTAAACAATTTAAGTTATGGATAACTCTTTCTAAAATTAGTAGTAACAGATACTATAAGGTTGCTTTCTCTATTTCCAGCTAATAATCACAAACTTTTTTGTCACACACAAATCAAAAGCAGTGTTCAAACCGTTTCCCAAAATCTCATACCTCACCCACCCCCCACCCATTCATCTTGAGGTGGTGGAGATGCGTGTGTACGTGTGTGCAATATACATATATAGACACACAAACACAAACACACACTCACTTCAAAATTTTCAAACTTCTTTTAGCAAAAATATTCAGACAATATTACAATGACAACACAAGAAGAGGGATTAACGTTAGAGCTCATACGACAACATCTCCTTGAAGATTTCACAAATACAGAATCATTTATCAACAGCCTTAATTCTTGTTTTTCCGATCAAATCTCCCCTGTTTTCACCTCAGTAAAAACAGAGCCTTCTACTTCCAATAATTCACTCTCAGATTCTCCTACATCGTACCCAAATTCACCAATTTCCCATTTTTTCAGCGATTTTCCAGAATTCAATACTAATTCAGACACTAATCTTAGCCCGACATCCGACGGCTCTGTTAGTTCCAACTCGACTATTTCATCGGATACAACGAGTAGTAATAATAATGAAAATAAGACGAAGAATTACAGAGGAGTAAGGAGAAGGCCATGGGGTAAATTTGCAGCAGAGATAAGAGATCCTAATAAAAAAGGGTCAAGGATTTGGCTAGGTACTTTTGATGCTGACGTGGATGCAGCTAGAGCTTATGATTGTGCTGCGTTTAAGATGAGGGGTAGAAAAGCTATTTTGAATTTTCCGATGGATGCCGGAAAATCGGGTGCTCCGGCGAATGTTGGCCGGAAAAGGAGAAGAGATAACGGGATACAGCTTGAGTTGCTGATCAATTTGTAACTATGTTTAAAATTTGCTTAGGAGAAAAGAGTGTAACGGAAATGTGTGAATTAATATGTTAAGAGTTGTATTAAACTCCCTTCCTGTTCAATTTTGTTTGATATTATCATTTACGAGAAGTTTTTATAATCACACAAATATTTTGGGGTTTTTTTTGGCTTGTTTAGGATCATAATTCTAAATATTTTTATTTTTTCTTAAATTTGTGACCAATCAAACAAGTTCACGTAAATTGGAAGTGAGGAAGTAAGAGTTATCATAATGATGGGTAAATAAACTTTTTATTTAGCCTTTTGTTTTCCAAGATTAACTTTTTATTCCTAACCTCTTCTTTCGATACTTTTTTGACAAGTTCATGACCTATTGTACACTTTTCATGTTCTTTTTCTGTCCAAATTAAAAGAATGATAAGAAAAAAGAAGAAGAAAAAAAAATAAAAGAAGAAACTTTTAAAGAATCAGAAAAGTAGATTCACCCCTTTTCTTTAAAACATCCCTTCCCAAGTCAATAAGAAAGTCGGCAAGTACGTAGTACTTTTGTGCTATGTTGTAATTGGTTCTATTCACTACTCTTTCCGTTAATAATAAATGACCAATTTATTTTAGATATATTTATTAAGAAAATATTAAATTCTAGACGAAAATAGTTAGTGTGACTAAATTATCATTGATTAAATATTGCAGCATAATTATAGTAGCACTTAATTCTCTTCTCAAATGTGAGGAGTAAATAATTTTTTTAGGAATACGTACATAAGGGTAATTTTAAAAAAATAAATTGAATTTTTTTTTGATTATATAAATGAACACTTATTTTGGACCAAAATAAAAAAAAAACAAATTGATCACTTATTGTGGATCAGAGTAAGTATGTACTAAACAAAATGTTGTCACAAAGGTAAAAGTTCCATCGTGTGAGTAGAAGATAACTAGTTGAAGTCATAAAAATATTCTTTAACAGAAACACAAGGTAAATTTGTTTAAATAAGATTCAATTTGATATGACCCTTCTTCACAAGGTAATTTTTTTTTCACTATGTACTAAACTAGTAAGTAGAAATGTGAAGACCGGAAAAGAGTCAAAGACCGTAGGAATAGGGAGAGAAACAAGTGAAGGGGAAGACTGGTTTGGTGCTCGAATTTCTTGACTGTTTTGAAACACTATTATCCAAAGGCAAATATATAGTCTTTTCTAGAGGTTTCAAATGGATAGTTTGGTCAATTTAGGTTGCTTAAAAGCAAGTTGAGAATAAATCGATTACACTTTTACATGTCAAAATTAATAATACTGGAGTGTCGAGCATGGTTCAAGCAGTTTCAAGATTTGAACTTTATGAGTTTAGATTCGTAATTTTACTACATTTTATCTAATTTAATAAATTCAGAATTTACAATTTGTACATATATTTTTTTTTTTTGGCAAAATACAGGGTATGAGCGAAAGCTATGGATTCAGATGAATGCATAGCCTTTACACTGGATACGCCCCTGAGTCTATACGGATGAAAACGAACTATTAATAAATTAAGTATGAGCCAATTCATCTAAAATTTACTTAAATCACCACTGATTGAATCAAATTGAGCAATGATTCATAACTAACATATCAAACTCTAATTTGGGTGAGTTACAATTATAAAGGTCCAAGTTTACATATTTAATCCGTTTACAATAAGGTTCCGAAGGTTAATGCTACTAAATTCGGAGTTTACAACATACTGTTCACTTTTGTTTGACATGTATACTAAAAATAGATTTTCACTTTTACTTATCACTTTACGTATATCAAAAGAAGACAATTTTCCCCCCGTTATACCCACAATATTTATTACTCATTTCAAATCATTTTCGCAAATCCAATAAAATATGCATTAATTAATATGTGTATCATGGTAAATTATACACTTCATTTATTAAAACTTCAAAAAAAATCCTACTATAAAGAGGGAATTAGTGTACTATTAATGCAAGTTGACCTTACCGTACAATGTGTGGACCAGCAATAGGACTTGACTTATACCATTGCATTGGCTAAATCTTTATTGATGTTTCCCTTGGCCAGCCTGCAGTGTATTTGACCAAAGAAGATAAGAATTGCTTCAACTTGCTACATCTTTGTCCCTATAGTTAAAGTTATCTCAAGATTGGTGGTCAGTAACTCGCATGTTTATCCACTTACGACGAGAATTAATTTAATGGTCAATTATTTAAATGTGAAAGTGGATGAAATAGTGACGAAGTGAAAGGTAGAAAGAAAAATGACAATTGGTGAGATTGAAACCTTGCACTAGAACTTGCATCCATTAGATTACAAGCTAATTTTTAACTCAACAACAATTACAATAACATACTAAAGTGTATTCTATAAGTAGGGCCTGTGAGAGTATTATATACGTAGACTTTATCCTTAACTTGTAAAAGTAGAGAAGTTATTTCTGTTAAACCCTCGACTGAAGGAAAACATAGTCACAGTAGTTACGATAAAGAATTACGAAAAGAAAAGCAGTAACAGCCAAGGGCACATCTAGCTTAAGGGGTATAAGTTCACGTGAATCCATACTCCTTTCCTTAAATCATGTATAACAATGTTATATTTCCTTAAAATTACCTAAATATATGTGCGTGCACCCTGTTACGTCTCGCGTTTTCGTACGTTAAAGTTTCGTCTTCAGTTAATCGACGTAGACTCAGGGATGATATTATCTTGAGGTTAATGTATTTATGCTATTTATAACAAGAGATAAGTAAGTGTCATGAAAGATAAAGGGTACACGAATTAAAGAAAATGAGTTTCATTGAAAGTTGTCGATTTGGGATAAAATAAGGTTCGAGCTATAATACCCAATATTTATGGACTAGTACCATACAAGGTACCATATGACCGTGATAGTATGATGTATAAAGTAGATTAAAATGAGTAGTATTTTAAGTAATTTGAGATAATTTTTAATTATGTGGGTAATTGGTTAATTATTGCGTATCAGGACATTACCTAATTAATTAATAAATTATGTGATAAGACAAACCTCCCTCTAAAACAAACGTGGCAGCTAGCCACATTCTAAAGAAATGACTAAGAGTCATTTCTTGTTAGGTGGCATAATGTTACACATTCACTCCATTTTAAGATTTTCCATATTCACTAAAGACTAAAACCATCAGAATGATAATCATTCTTACATCAATGCTTCTTTCAACCAAACCCAATATTAGCCATTTCACAGAACGTCTTTCAACCAAAATTCTTACAACCAGAACGTTAGCAAGCTTTCAACAAAACGTTTTTCAACCAAAGTCCAACGAGAATTATTGGAAGCTTAACAACGTACAAATTTTGTAGTTCTAAAGGAGTACAGTATAACGTTTTTCAAGAATATCATACGGATTTTTTCCTACTCCAGGTATGTTAAGGCTATCCCTTCTTTCTTTTTGGCATAATCCAAATTATACAGAAGAAACGAGTAAACGCACAATTTTCATAAACGACTCTATTTGTAAAAATATTAGGGGCTCTGTGTTCTTAATTTCCCATGTGACACATTATTATATCTTCTGTTCATGGGTCTTAGAATAATACACAGTTGATAAAGTTTATCCGAAAGGAATATTGAGATTTTAACATATTTTCATGCATTTTATTCATTTATACATGTACATTGACCCATGACCCGACAACGTTATATACGCATATTTATATGTATATATTTATGTATATGGGATATGGGAAAAAGGTTACGACGTTATATACGCACCACCATCTGATCAGTTGGTATATGTTGATGATGTTGCCCATAGTGGCCAAGACGATATGATAGGATGCCCTAAGAGGCCTGATGAATTATGTACACCTATACCTATGCATGACCCGACGTTTATATGCACGTGCATGACATTATAAATGTTTAAGATTTACAAAGTTATTCAGATTTACAAATGGATTTCTTTATTCCATATTTCATCTATATCTTTTATGTATTGATTTTCATGCCTTACATACTCACTACATTTTTCGTACTGACGCCCTATTTCACGGGGACTGTGTTCATGCATGCATGTATAGGTAGGCAAGCTGACGGTCCCCCTTCTTAGGATCCTTGATCAGCGAGGGTTGGCGTGCTCCACTTGATCCGGAGCTGCTTTTGATTTTGGTACGATATGCTTGTATATATATATGGGTATGACGTGGCTCAGTCCCGTCTTTGTAGTTGTATTTCTATTAGAGGTCTGTAAACAGTTATGTATAGTTGGATAGTATGTGGCCTTGTCGGCTTTCAGTTTTGAGTATATAGTTGTCTATAGCGGCCTTGCTGGCTCGCCCACTGTAATCCGCACGTATATGTATATATGTCTTTTGGACAGGTTTTCCTCATGCATGTTATTCTCGTAATTCAACAGAATATATTCATATTTATATCTTAGTTGCATGCTTAAGGGTGTTCGACAGGTAGGACTCGAGCACTCATCACGGCCCATCGGTTTGGGTTGTGACAAAATTGGTATCAAAGCAGCTTTGTCCTAGGGTTGTCTATAGACCATGTCTAGTAGAGTCTTGTTTATGGGTGTGTTATGCACCACACTTATAGACAGGAGGCTATAAGATATATATGATGTTATTCTCTCTTTTTATCTCAGATCGTGCATAAGAATTCATGTTTCTAACAATATATTATGTTTTCAGCGATGCCACCGAAGACTACAGCTATCCAGAAGGGAAAGTCCGTGGCTGGCGAGACTACTAGTCGAGCGCCACGAGTTACCAGGGCTCGGGGAGAGTCTCATAGTGAGATTCCATCTCAGACTTCACATACCCCGCCCGAAGAGCTCCGAGGGGCACCAGCCCCAGTACCCGCCCCTATATGTTCAGCCCCTCAGCCAGATGCACCGGATCAGGAGATGAGAGATGCTATTCATCTATTAACTCGATTAGAAGCCACATAAGCTTGGCGTCAGGAAATAGGTATTGGTCAAAAAGATAGGTCTGTCAGTGCGAGGGTTGATGACTTCATTAATTAAGACCCTCCGGTATTCACTGGGGCATATCCAAATGAGGACCCTCAGGTATTTATTGATAGAATGGAGAGCACGTTAAGGGTAATGAAGGCCACTACGACTGAGTCAGTTGAGCTAGCTTCCTATAGACTCAGAGATGTT